AGGAATGAAGGTTACTTTGATCGGATGTTCATGTTCGCTGGTTGAGTTGTTAAGCACCTGTTGTGGTATATTTGATAAGGTTTATATTGTCATGTACCAGGATTGAGAGAGGAGAATAATATCACCTAATTATATCAATGTTTTATCAACTATTATATCTAAATAGTTTACTTTCTAAACAAACTTCTTTAACGTAAATTTCTTTATTTCAGTCTTCAAAGATTCTGGTTGTTTATATTTCAAACAAACTTCACAAGTTATTAGATCTAAACATTGGGAGTATGCTGTAGCCACCTTACTTTTATTCCACTTTACAAAAAGACAAGTGAAATTTTCACATCATTTGTCAGTAATTTGGTTGCAGTAACTTTCACGAAGTTTGGGAACCAGTACAGCACCGTTTCTAATTTTGCAGGGCATATATTTTATGTGGGCTTTTCTTGTAACATAAATAATCTCAATATCAATATGTAGAGAATGTCAACCATTACCAAAAGGTGCTGTCAACGAAGAGCTAAAAATCCATGGTTGATCATTGCTTGGACGCATGTCCAAACTTTGAACATCTATCTCTTCCACGGGGCATAGGAAATGTTTACTTCAATCAATTCAATTTTGCAAAATATTTCTTGGGAGAACCCTCTCAGACCCTCCATTAGATGCTTGCGACTATGACGCTTCCACAGAGATGGTGCATTCTAAATTCAACCTCGTCAGTTGTCCCCTCGTTGTGTCGGCCTGTCCCCTGACTATCACATCTCATCAAGTTTGTCCCTGAATGACCTTTCTGATGTATTGACACCTCCTGATGTACATACTTCATCTATAATCCACCCTTTTAAATTAGGTGAGGGTAAATCTGATTACATCATTAGGCACCTAAATGTCAATCGATTGATTACCAAAAAGGAAAACAAACTTGATGAAATGCGTAAAGTCATATTTCAACCAGAAAATAACATCAGTATTATGGGTTTTACTGAAACTTTTTTTACATGAATTAATATTAGATGACCTGCATGTTGACAATTATGTTTGTGAAAGAAAGGATCGATTTTGTCAAGAGGGAGGCGGGCTTTTATTTTATATCAAAGATACAATTAAATATGAAAGACTTATTGAATTTGAAACATATGATGCTGAATGTATGTGGCTTAAAGTTTCACACGAGTTTTCCAAACCTTATATTCTATCTTTAATGTTTAGACCACCTAATTCTAATGTCGATTGGTATGAGAAATTTGAACAAATTTTATATAATGTTTCATCTAAATATGCATCCGCACCTTTTTACATAATAGGTGATTTTAATATTGATTTTAATTTCCTGTGCCCAAACATTGGCAGACCATTCTGTCGTCATTTTCTTTGTCTCAAATGGTTACAGAACCAACAAGAAAAACTAATATTTCAGCTACTATACTATCATCTGTACACTAACGTACCAAATAATATTCAAGAAATTAAAATACCTCCATACAGTCTAAGTGATGATCATTATCCGGTAGTTTTCTCATTGAAGAATATTCAAAACTGTAAAAGCTCTAAAAATAGGCACACCCTGATTCGATATAGAAAATATAAAAGTTTCTAAACGATTTGATAAATTTGCCATTCCAAAATATATAACAAATTAATGATATTGATGCTTTTTACCATCTTATTTTCACTGTATTAAATAAACATGCCCCTATTAAAACCCTACTCAACCCCTGTGGTTTAATGCAAGAAGGAAGCGTGACTATTACAAAATGATTGGAAATGAAACTTTATATAAACAATGGCGTAATAAAACCAAGAAGTTGATAGAGCAGGCTAAAACAAATCATGTAAAAGATGTCATTGTTAATAAAAAAGAGAGTAAAATTATTTGGCAATATCTTAATTCTTTATAAGGAGAATCATCATCTGGCCCAAATTACCCGCAAACTATTGAACATCATGACTTTAATCTGACCCGACTCAAATTACTGAATTAATGAATGAATATTTTACCAATATTACAGACACTATAAAACCTCCGTATAAACCTCTCCAACAACCAAATATCATTCAAAATTACATCAATGACAAAGTTCCTCATGATTTCTTATTTAATTTACCTCTTAGATTAGAAGTACTAAGATATCTCAAAAACCATGAACCCAAAAAGGCTACGGGTTTAGACAGTCTAGGCCCAAAAATTTTAAAAATGTCAGCTGAGGTGATTTCAGGTTCACTTACTCATATTATAAATTTATGTCTAACTAATTGTATTTTTCCAGAGAGTTTAAAGGAAACTAAAATAGTGCTTATCTAATTACAGACCAATTTCCATTTTACCTACCATTTCTAATATCTTTAAAAACATATATCCACCATCATTAAGTCCTTCTTCGAAAATTTCAATTATTTTATGTTAACCAGTCGGGTTTTAGAGAGAACCATTCTTGTTCTACGGCACTAGTTAAAATCACAGATAATTGGCTTGAAGCTTTAGACCAAGGTAAATTGACAGGTGTTGTCTGTCTGGATTTTAGCAAGGCTTTCGATCTCATAGACCACCCGCTCCTTCTTGATAAGCTTATTTTATACAAATTTCACCCTTATTTGTTATATTTAATTAAATCGTATTTATCAAACCGTACCCAAAAAGTTTGCCTTGGTAATTTCCAATCAATACATAGAAAACTAAAATGTAGTGTTCCTCAAGGATCCATCCTTGGACCACTTTTATTTCTTATTTTCATTAATGATCTTCCCCTTTTAATAAAAAAACTCTACTTCTGAAATATTTGCTGACGATACTACCATATATTATTCTGATGAAAAACTTGACTGCATTCAGAGTTGTCTTCAGGAGGACTTAGACATTATCAGCCAATGGTGCCATGATAACGGTATGGTAATAAACACAAAGAAAACTAAAAGTATGTCAATAAAAAACGTAAGAGACAGAGATAAAAGTCTTTCTCTGTCCATTGGTAACCAGAGTTAGACAATGTGTCCGAAGCTGTCTTACTCGGAATTACAATAGATGATCACTTAGACTGGGGAAAACATATAACAAAACTTCACTCGTTTGTGTCATCAAAAATATATTTTCTCAATAGAATTAAAATAAATCTACCATTAGAAACACGAATATTATCTTACAATGCCTATATATTATCACATTTAAATTATTGTAATATTGTGTAGGGTAATGCTTTCCAGAATAAACTTGACTTCCTATTAAAGCTACAGAGGCGGGCAGCGCGCAGTATCCTTGACGCGAACTATGATGCAAGATCGGCAGACTTATTTTCTCAATTAAATTGGCTAACTCTTGAACAACAAATTAAATAAAACACTGGAATACTGACTTACAAAATTATGAACGGAAAATGTCCTCATTAATTTCAAAATTATTTTCGGTTACAATCTTCAATTTCTACCACAACTCTCTGTCTACGTTCGGAATCAAAAAATTCATTACATCTACCCAAGTGCCGGATTGAGGCCATGAAAAGGACATTTAAATAAAGGCTAGTTTACTCTGGAATTCATTACCTCAAGTACTTAAACAATCCAACAGTGTAGAATGTTTTAAAACAGGACTGAAAAGGGAACTACGATAATAAGAGAGACTAGAATTATTTTACAAATATCCTATTATCTTTAATGTTGTAAAGATTACTTTTAATTCATTTCCTTTTTACATATATTATTTATATATGTGACCCTTAATTTTCCTCCTTCATTTTCTATTTTATTTCTATTGTCCATTTTTATTACCTTAACATTTTGTAAATATGTTATTGTAGTTGTATGTAGAAAGATCCCAGGGAAGATTGCCTTGTGCAACTGGGTTTCTAATAAAGTTATTATCATTATTATTATTATGGTGAAGATTATAAAACGGAAGGCAGTCGAAAATCTCACTTGCGTTGAAATATTTAGTTGTAGTCTGAATTAACAGTAGCTGTAAATGGTTTATTTCCCATATAATCATTTATTTTGAGTTTGTTGTTTGTCTCTCACCCCGGTTAATAAGACCATGTCAATACCCGTATTCGTGATGGTTGTCTCTATAAGGATTGTGTTTTTCTATTTATGGGTAAACGGGAAATGAAGCTTCATTTTGCACCACAGAAAAACCTACAGCCGTCTGTGAAATTCTAAATCCAAGTGTAACACAGCTCCCCAAAACTTGATGTGCAAAGTAAAGAATCACATTTTTCTTCAAACATTAGGCCACAACTGGCCAGCCTTTCTATCTCAACCTTCATCTAGGCAAACTTAACAGGGGTGTGGCTAATAATTGTGTATGGGTATTTCATGAGAATAAAAATGAAGTCTGTATACAACATGGGGACTGAGGTATATTAACAAATGTACAACCAACAATGCTGTAACATTATCAACAATATTAAAATTCAAATATGTAAACATTCAGTAGCACATTCAAGTTCAAATACATCAAAAATATTCAACCTATTTCTTTATCATATTGCACACAATAAAAGACGGGCCAATTCTGTTAAAAATATTGTTTAACTACCAACATCCAAAAATAAGATTCTCATATGTTTCATAATTATAACAAACAAGCTCACCAGCATGCAATAACATGAAAAGCACAAAGGTAAATATGTAACTTTAAAACATAATTCAAACATATGATAATACCAATATGATAAATTAGACTTCAACTTTTTATTGTAAGAGTGTGTCTATCATTGTTTGGTAAAACTAAAATTATTGAGCAATGGTTGAAAATCATCTTTTTTTAAGATAAACAACTGTACACAGAATTATATCCAATTTCAAGCTTAGCCATTTTCAAAGCATAAAATAGACAACGCATAATGAGAGCAAACATGATAAGACTGATATCAATATCCTTTTGATCATTTGAACAGTAAATGTGTAATGATTGTTGTTGTGCTATTTTCAAGCATTTTGTCAAATTTCATCTTTACTTTCTTCAGTCAATCAAAGGTTTTGTTCTTCCATAGTAAACTTAGTTAATTCAAGATTCACTTTTTAGGGAACATTTTCATAAACATAATCATCCATAAGAAAGTCACCATTACCATAACCAGCATAATCCATATCCACCAGGAGCAGGCTTTAGTATGACTTTCTAATTTATCACTTTCAACTTTTAACTTAAAATAATTTACATCTGATAACTTGGTACTATCTTGAATTTTCTGTGAAAAATAACAAACAGTAATAAAAAGATTTCACAATCAAATGAAAAATAATTTTAAAAAACTAATTGATGCATTTCAGCATGCAAAACAATTATAATAGATTAATATAAAGTTCTGTTTTTGTGTTAAAATTTTAAACATTCTATAACTAGCGCTATAATGGCCATTTGTTTAAAGGTTTACCTGCTACTGAGAAACATGATAGGATATTTCCAGGGTGTCTTTTATACTAAAAGCAAAATATAAATACCATGTACCTTTGTGTCTTCCACCACTATTTTGCTTGAAACTTTTATATTATCTTTTAAATTTCTAGTTAAATTTAACAATTCATCAGCTAATTTTTCTTGTATCTGATGATGATGTTGTAGAATCGTATCAATATCATTTTCCTCTTGTTTGTCTTTATTTCTTTGACGAAGATTAGATCCTAAAAATGTAATATGCAAATCATTTAAATGGGTTGAAATATGCAATAGGAGAAACTATGCCATGGCAACAACATCGGCTTACTCTTTCTATTTTCCAATTGTGAAAGAATGGCTTACTTACACAGACTGTAGCAAGTGCAGCCTCAGTATAATATCCCATGTTATTGTTCCATGAAATTATAATCAAGTGCAAAATACCTTTAGATTCAAATAGTTCTTCTTTCTGTTCTTTCCTATATTTGGACTTAGCTGATATCTGTAATTCTTTAGTATGTGTATTGGTACTTGTGACTGATGGTATTCTATCTGTGACTAGAATCTTCTCACTGACAGTTGGCTGAAAAATTATGAAATATTGTTCTCAACAGAGCCTAGCTCAGATTGTTACCATATACCAGATGACATAAAAAAGTTTATTTATTGTTAATGAAAGTGACCTACTTAGGCGGTCAATTTTAATTCCAAGATTGTTTCCCCAAACACTACTAGCTGATAGAAATGCTCTTTGGAACCAAAGTTATTTTCATTGATAAGCCAAGAAAAATTCCTTTCTATAATCACTGACATTCAAATCCAGTAAATCATAAAGCATTAGCATTATTATTTGATCCTGTCCCCTTACCATTTGTTTTGCTTCTACTAAACCTTTCAATACTTCAACCTTTCTACAGTATTCTGCTAGTGTATCAGGAGGGGGCTTACTGAAATACAGAAATGATATTGAAATATTCACAAAATATTTCTGAATTTTTTGGTTCAGTGTTTATATTTCTACATATATAGGAAAAGAATAGGCATTATATTTCTCAATCCAAATTGTATGAATATACATGTATATCATGTACAGCAGTTGTCCTGCACTTACAAATAAATAGAAGTACATATCCACATGCCCTTCTTCTTTATTCTAATTTAATGTCTATATAAAGTAAAGGGAATCCAGTTTGAATTTACCTCTGAGATCTTTTCAAATCAATTAACTGTTGCTGTAATGCACTCGCATACTAAAAAAATATCATGGATATCAATTAAAGGGCAAATTTCTGTCAAGTTTTACAAAACATTACAGCATCTAGTTATGGTCAGTTGGGAATTGTACCTATGCTTCATATAATCCAAACACATTTCAAGATCTCTTCTGATCATTTAAATATCTGTATGCACACTATAAAGTAGTTGTCTTACGTGACCGTAAAAAAAATGGGGGTTTTGTTTGCAACTTGGGTCTATATTTTAAAAAAAATGACTATGAATGTTGCTTTCTAATCTCAGATTAGCTTTGTCCTTAATTTATACCCCCTACCCAATGTTAGTACCTTGGTTATCCGCCAATCATTATTGTTTTGGTCGGCTAACATAACCTCACAACGGTTTAAAAGTCTGGTAAAATTGATTTCCTGCTTCGTGGCAGCCATGACTGTCATGTTTACATTTCTGAAGTTAATTTCATATTATCTATCGATATTCAAACTTTTACTTCAGTGTTGACAAGTTCAACTTCCTAATCGTGTAAAAATGCCATCTATTATCTACAAAATCAATGTTCAACATATGACTGAACTATGAATTCCAATTGTTTCACATTTAAAAGTTTTCAAAAAATTGGTTTCGAAAAACGAAGATGAATTAGCTCAACTTCAGTCATTCTACATTTTTTGATTTCACAACATTAGAGAGTTATACCATGAGTTTCCGGTTTAATGTTGTCGTTAGTAACGTAAACAATAGTGTGAAATCTTCTCTGAATAGGTAGTAAATAATGATCGATTGATTGGATTGGTTTCTCGGAGAGCGTCCCAAGATAATGACTGAATAGGTTTGTAAAAATAACTTTTATTTACTTTTAATCGAAAGTTTTTGGCGGCTACGATTTGATTTTATTTAACTGAGCTCTTTAACTTAAAGTCTGTGTTTTTTACTCTTTTTGAATTCAATGATAAACAGAGTTAGACCTCCAACGTATAATATAATGCAGTAAAATATATCATGTAAATGTATCGGAGTCACCCAAGGCAGAAGTATCAAGGGGAATCCCCAAAGTGCAGTGTTTCTATGTGCATCAGATTAGGACTAAAATAAAGAACAATTATTTGATTGATGCTTATAATTATGTAATTGCTCTTCTTTATGTATTGGTTTGGTTTCATTTCATCAGTAAATTTATTTATTATCTTTATTTGTGGTAGATCATTTCATATTCATTGGTTGTCATATCCAAATTATATAACCATGACTCACAAAATGGCTGGTGGAATGACAATGATGGTAGAGAAACCACCTGTTCATGGTCATCTTGGTCCAGGCAACTTTACCATTTCACAAGAAGATGCTCTCACAAATCCAGCAATGTGTAGTGTCTTCCAGAAGCATTATGTTTCTCACCCAGAATTCAGCAGAAGCCAGCCAGCCAAGCCTCCAGTTCTGGGTCCAGTTATGCATAAAGATAAGAACTATTTTAATGAGTTATTATCAGAAACCTACAATTCCTATGAGTACAGACCTGGTGAGAAAATGGTGTTAGAAGATGTTCATACTAAACTCAGTGCAACCAATTTTAAAATGGACAGAGATCTGAGTAAATTTAATTCCTTTAATACCACCAGTGGTTACTACTTTGTTCCCAAAATAACCACAGATTTTGAAAGAGCAAAGCCAATTTTTGATCTGGAATCCCATGTGCCTAATGGTGATCCTGGAAAAGCACCTGCCCCTGTTTCTGATTATCGAGAGAAATTTGAGGGTCATGATACATCAGTTGTTAAGGTTCATAAAGCACCTGCCATGCACGAAGGAGGACCACCAACTATAAAGGGTGATCCAAAGTATGATGATTTTAAAACTTCACACAGTCTGCAGTTTCCTTATAAATGGCAGAAAAGACTGGCTTCTGTTTATCCTGTAAGTATCAATGTTTGAACAATTTACATTCATTGTGAGATGAAGGCAGGAGTGCATGACAAAATTGTTTTATCTTTCCATTTTGATGTTGCCTCAGTATTATTTTTATTACATTTGAAATATAAGCTTGTTTGGAATATTTACTCTTTGTGGTGTTCAATGTCATGATTCTTGGTGCCTTTCAAGCACTTGTTAGACACTAAAAAAATGTATTTTTTTTTAATTTGATAGGCAGAAATCATTCAGAGACAAATTGCAAGTATTCCAATGATTTGTCATGTTCATGTTTCAGGCAACAGGTACTAGTGTGCCTAATGGTGATACAGAAAAGATAGTATTGAGAGATACAACCATGAGCACATCTTTTCCCCCTGTTAAAGGAGCAGAGAATTATGCCTCATATAATCACCAAGATGTAAGCCATATTTTACGTCAAACCAACTTTAAACAGTCAGATGGTAGAAATACATGGAATGACTATAAGAGTACAGCTAATAGTGATTATCAAAACAAAGGAAGCATTAAATGTTAGTACCATTTGTATTATTCTTGATGAGTTAAATCACTTTATTTAAATGTACTATTAAAGTACTCCTCACGAGTATATCTTACTGTGTGTGGATAGGTCTATATCTGTTTTTTAGTTAACCTTAGTTTAATTATTAATAAGACATTAGAATCCAATTTAACTTGAATATTTAATTGGATTTGAATGAACATTATAGGTATTTTATTACACCCAGAGTAAACACTATTGATAATGCACAGTTCATGTCTTGCAGTGTAATAGATCCTATATGATATCCTTCATATTAAAGGACAAAAATTTATCATTATTATCTTAGTTGATATAAAAACACCTCTATTGGTTTTGTAAAAATTCACCAGTTCAGCACAGTGGGTTATAAACAGTTTGTCAATCCTTAACTACTAGTGCAGTTTCTTCAAACAAATACTAACTGTAACTTCAATTCTACAATTATAACAGACTTCTTATTTGAAATTGACAGTTTGCCTCCACTATTTTTTTAATTGTTTAGTTTCAATGATGATCTATTTCAGTCCAGAGAGCAGCACCAAGTTTCCATAGAAACCATAGTGATTTTCCCCCTGGTGACAGAGAGAATGACACAGAAAGAGTCAATATGACTACCAGTAAATATCATCATGGCAACGTATGTAATTTCAAACATAAATGTGAGCATCGAAAATTCCTTTTTATAACTACAAAACCTTGGGATCTTGCAAAGTCATGTCTCTAGAAATAGGGCAATGTTGATTATAAAAAATTGTTTGATTTAACTTTATTTATTGTAAAAATTTGTATTAGTTTTATTCTACATTTCAGCCTGCACTAGGACTCCACAATACAATAAGACATGGAGCAGATGTACTGACTAAAAGTAATGTTTTATTTGGTGAACCAAGAGTTAGAAATCCTATGATGTATTACTCAACTACTAATACTGATGAATTTCTACCAAAATCAGCACCGTACACATACTTCAAATCAAAATATTATACTAACTCATCGGTACCAATTAAATACTACAGTAAGTTAACAATCTAATATATTTGATTGTTCTTTACAAAGTAATCGCACCTGTCACAGGACTGCAGGGCAAGCATCTCTGAATAACTAGAGGGGACGTAACTCTTGTTTAGCTCAAACTATATAAGACCACTATGATGTGATGTTATGGTATATGTATCCTGTGAGACACATAAACTGTAATGTGCTGTACCATTTCACTGTATTAATGCACTATTTCACTGTATTGCTGCACTTGTCTAATATATTGTTGGTGGATGGGGAAACCATGATACCTAAAATACCACGTACCGTACATCATAACATTATTACAATACTTATTGATTGTTTTATTTTAGAAAACGAAGTAGCAAATACTACCTCTCAAACAGATTATAATACACCATGTTTGGTTGACAGCAATGGTATAGATTTAGAAGCCATCGAGAAGGTAAGACTTTTGTTTCTAAACAATCAAGTTGAAATTTGAAGTGGTTTCATTTGTTCACACAACTATTATTTGTAGTGTCTCTAAATATCTTGTGATAGAATTTGTTGTAAGTGTAATGTTTGAAAATCCAAATCTTGCTTGTAAAATAGTTTAAGGATGATTCTGGTCTGGTTCGACATAGTACTTTAAGATTTCCTGGCCATCTTTACCTGTTTGTCAAAAGGAGTAGTGAACAGAAAGTGTTCTTTTGATTAGAAAAAATAAAGGCCCAATCTACTTTATGTCTCTGAGCTTTATGGATTCCATAATCAAAATCAGATTTTGGCTATTACTAAAGCATTGCAAAATGTCAACACTACATCTTGAAAGATATTTTTATGCCATGCCAAGAGTGATTTTGAATGGAATTGATGCTGATGTCTTGCATCTTGGTAACCAATTTTTTTCTTTTTCAGTTAAAAAGAAGTAATTTTTTCCCTCCATGGAAAGGAGAGACCTGCTTCAATACAACACATCAAGATATGTTTACCCCTAAACCAATGGAAAAATATGTCATAGACTCAGGCAAGATGCAGAAAAGTTCTGTACCTTTAGGAACTTTGTCAATATCAACTCAGAAATAGAAAAAAAACAGTAACTTTGAACTGAAAGAGCATATCACTCTGACATGGTTTTATGGAGTAACACTATACAAGAGGATATGAATTGGTTTTTTGACAATTAGCATATATGTATTCATAATATGAATGCATTTTTGTAACATTTATAACATGATTTTGTTGAATAATTAATGCATTCCTCTGTGATATTTCTTGTTTATTTATGTAAAAATGTATGTGTGTGTTATTTTGGATTATTCTAAGAAGTCATGTATGATTATCTATTTGCTATATAAGAACATGACAGGATTGATATTGCTAATCTTTGAAACTTGCAACTAGTTTTTGAGGAAAAATTATGAAGTTTCCTGACAATTATAATGCCATCTCTCCTTTGTCATTTAAGAGAGGTATAGTAAAAACTCTATGTACTCACCTTGCAAGTTTGGCATTCTGTTCTTCTGCAATTAAAATTAAAAATTATTACTTTTATCCTAATGAATTATGCAAGTTTGATTAAATATTACTATCACTTTTCATTTGGAGAATGTCAATAATGCTAATGAAGACCAAATGTGACCAGTGTCACTGATGTATTTTTCCCTTTAAAGAGGAACAATATGTATTCCTATTCAAAAAGATATTGTTGGCTCTTTCACCTATTAAAGCGAGCTGTTTTATAGTATTATACAGAGTCAGTATTATTGTGTGATCTATATTTTATAAATATTTTGAATTTTGTTGTGAAGATATATTATGTTTTTATAACATATATTTCTTTCATAGTTTGCAACAGCATATTATGAATCTCTTTTATTAAACAGCAATGTTTTTACCTACAAATCCTAATTACCTTTTACAACATATTATCCTTTTGTAGCAATTCTTAAGAAGGGTAAAAGTTTTCTTATGGACCATAACAGTTAATTTTTTTTACCGCAATTGTGTTGAGTGTATGTGCAAGAAAGTACTTTCTTTATTTCATATACATGTACATATACCATATCCTAGCTCAGGTTAACCCAAGGGTTACCCCACCCTTGGTGGCCGAGTTGATCTTTCACTTGCTCGGCAATTATAAAGTCAGTGTTCGAATCCCGTTTTTCCAGGAACAATTAAGGCCGAGGATATTCGCCACCCCAATAATTAAACCATGGAATTTTTTTTTAACCCCAATTTGTGTTGAGAACTTGTTCATTTCATATGCGGAAACCATTTATCGAACCAGATATAACCAATTTATTAGCTTACCTTATAGTTGATATTAAGATAGCTTGCCAGGCAAGGTAACATACGCCCACTATCAGCTGTCAGAAACGATAAAGTCTGTAGTGGTTTAATATGTGAAACTGATCATTCAATTGTTAATAATTTCAAGCTTTACTCAGGTCTCATACCAATATTCATAAAAAAAAACCAACAAAAAAATGTAGTCTCTATCGAGCCTACAAGCCAAATTAGACGCATTCAATTAATTCAAGGGCCATAACTCCAAAACCATTCATCCAATTATTACAAATTTTGAACTTGAGGTCTCAATATATACATGCATACCAAGTTTCATTGAGATCAAATAAATAACTCTGCAACAGTTCATCCGATTATTACTAATTTCAACTGGACGGAAATCTCATCAATACATACCCATGCATACCAAGTTTCATCAAAATCAGATAAAAACTAGTCTCTATCGTGCCTACATGCCAAATTTGACGCGTTTTTACTAAGTCAAGGGCAATATAACTCTGAAACCGTTCATCCGATTATTACTAATTTCAAACTTGACCGAGATCTCATCAATATATACATGCATACCAAGTTTCATTAAGACTGGATAAAAACTGTAGCCTCTATCGCGCCTACAAGAAAAAGTGAACCGACGGACAGGGGCAACGGCAATATATTTCCAAGTGGGCGTATAAAAAATGGAGTTAACCCCAACTCTTGTACTTTTTATGTGTATCGGGGATATTAATAGCATCATTTTTCACCATTCCAATTTTCCACTTTAACCGTCAATGTTATTTTTTTTCTCTTACCTTCATAAGTGGAAACTATATCTTGGACCAGCTATAACTAATTCATATGCTAACCTTTGTTGATTTTAAAAAATGGAATAACTCAGTCTGCTAGGCGATTAGGTGCCGTGGAGTCTAATCTTCCTCAAGGTAAGAACAATTCTGATGCCTGTGCCAGTGCTTTCGAGAGTCGGCCTGGTGTCGGCTCTCATCCCCGAATAACTTTTATTAGTTAATCCCCGTCCTTGCCGGGGTCTCGGTGGTCGAGTGAATTTTGTATCAGCTTATCAATTCGTGAGCTATAGTTGATTCTCATGGACCATTTAAACCCTTAAAGTTAATTTTATCTATCCCAATATGAAGAAGTACAACGAAGTACATGTACATTCAAATCCATTTCTAACTTCCAATATTCTGACAATTAATCAGTTTATTTACATTCAAATTCTATAAACAGTTTTGATTATCAATAAGAAGTGTATTAACAATTCTAAATCTATGCTACATCCTAGAGTTGTAGAAAAAGATCAAGAGAAAAAATCAAATTACATAACAAATCATACCGTTCAAAATCCCCGTCTCTGTAGTCTGTCAAACCATTAAATTGGAGTGGCAAAACCTTCTCCTTGCAAAATCTAGTAAACGTTTGTAAAGGATGAAGAATAAACTATATATGCCAATTGCCCTTTACAAATAGTTAGATCTGCAACAAAATCTGCACTTCTCAGTGGTGCTATTTGCGATTTGTGCTGTTGTGTTCTCTAGACTATTGATTCAAAGTAGTAAACTGCATAAATTTCCAAATACAATAAAATATTTTTTTTGTTACCAACCCTTACCACCAAATCTCCTAATACATAATGCGGATTGCAATATCAATCTCTTGCATTTGCGCCATGTGTTTAGCTAAATATACTGGCTTAGACTAGCTAAATGTAAACATCCTTGAAGGAACTGATGCGCCATTTCACGGACCGATTGTACCTTAGTCACAGGATTTTTTAGCTAAGCTAATCAGAAATAGTGTTCACAGCTCATCATCGAAATTTCCGCGTTTAAAAGTTTAAAAGACTACTAGTCATATTAAGTTACTTTGTGATATATAGAAAAGTCATAATAGAGAGTAAAATACCTAGTTTGAAGTATTTTTAAAGGAATCATGTGATTTTCGTACATTTCTAGTACTTTTGAAGACTTTTTACATATATTCATGACCCTCACCAACCCCAGGAAATGGCGAATCCGTCCCTTTAATAAATCTGGTTATAGCATCGTCACACCGGGCTGCGACCATTTACATTCTTACGGCGACTAAAATGAACTTGGTCGCGGTTCTTACAGCGTCTTAATTACGCGTGTACTGCGCTTTTATACCGCTCTAGGAGGTATTACAACCTTTAACACGACTCGATTTCATGGCGTATCAACTCGTTCCAGAACAGATGGCTGAGCAGTTAGAACGCTTTTTCAGTGTGACGGGGCCACTACACGGTATTAATCGTGATCGAGGCATACTGCAAATTACTAATAAACCTTTCTTGGCCTTCGAAACAGAACTAAACTTCAATTTTCATTTTTAAGCTCATTTTTCTTAAATTGAATAACATTATGCTAACTTACATTCTTCTATCATTGCAAGATAAAGTTTACATTTTAAATGAAGATAACAAATATATTTAAAAAAAAAGATATTTGACCCAAAGAAAAAAAGAAAGTAAACTGAATCGATAAAATTTACTATTCTACATCTTTAACTATATTGAAATTATTTACAAAGGAATCGTCAGAAAATGACTTGTGGAAAAAATATCTTGTGGACGGACAAAATGGCTGTTATTTTTATTTTTTATTTTTTTGATAGAGAACAGGAACTGACGTGAAAAATATGTAGTGGTAATACCAAACCTTTGTTCGTCCGTCGGTTCATGTTATCGATTAGAATATCTTTGCGTTGATATAAATAAGATTTTTTTTTGATAATTTAGATTGTACAAAAATAATTGATCATTGAAGAATTGAAACTTAATTTGTAACTGAAGCGTCAGTAGTTCAGCAAATATCACACAGGATTATTGTTTTCTTTATTTATAAGTAATACCCAGGGAGATATAATTAAAGAAACGAACTTGGTATTAACGTAAGTTCATAAATGAAGAAAGTCATAATGCAAATCAAATCCAGAACACGAGTTCTAAAGCAAATATTTTGTATGACGCTGTAAAACTGACGTATGACATCGCGAACAAACTGCATAATATCTTCCAGTTTTAAACAATACCTTTCTATACCGATTCGCGTTTAGAATTGTTCAGAAACGCCTCTCAGAAAACAACTATCTCGGATGTAAAAGTGCATTTTGCCTTCAAGTGATCGACAATCTATCAAAAATTGAAATTAATGCACCCTTAATCATATATGGTTTGACCAGAAAAATTAAGCAAAAATGTTAGATTTCAGTTTTCTACTTCAGTTAGTTGATTGATTGGTGGTAAAGGTGTGGGTGTTAAGCCTTTTCGTCGTTTTAATTCCTCCAACTTTTCACGAAGTTTGGCCTCTTGTCTCTGTTTATCTTTAGTCACCCTGAAAGGAAAAATAAATATCATTTGTACTAATGCTGATTTTGTCGCAGAACGACATGCAAGCCATTATCTGAAGAGTGATACACAAAACTCAAAGCCTTAAAGAATTTGTATGACTGCTTTAGTTTTGTTTTAAGAATAATTTGTAAATATGTGCAATCAAAATTTTACTTAATATAATCTGGCTTTACGCTATATGTTAGTCAAAATGTGACGTGATTGACAAATTCTTAACAATTAAGTGAACAAAATATCTTAGCCGATGCTGACTGAATGAAAAAGTGGGTTAAATTCTAAATTTGATATAACTAGAGCAGTTTATTTTATGATATTGACTTTGATAAATTGTCAGAGTGCTGAAATATCACACAATTATACAGAAATAATCAATAAATCACAATTAAACAATACATCTTATAACATAATAGCAACTATAACCTGTTTTTCCTGGTAGATATATCTTCGACACACAACCTTTACATTTATGAAATGAATCATAAGTTATAGGCCACTTATTTTTTAAATTATCAGATATTTTCAGTGCCTAAAAGGGCGAAATGAAATATGCATAGAGATGAAAACATTTTTTTAAAAGATAATATTGATGTCCTTTTTCAGCGTGGAATAGCTGATAGAAGGCTTGAACGACATTTAGATGCTGATTTTTGTATAGCTGATAGCTTGAACAATTTTAATTGGCGTGGAAATGAATGAAAGAAAGATGAAATCTAGACTAACAATGACAATGAACCTCAAAAGCAGGGCAACATTAACAACTATGATTGATAAAGCATTTTTTTTGTTTCAAATACCATATAAATCATTCATTCTTTTCAGCGAGACCTATTGTTTATTTCCCCCCGATCATTGTGTTACAGTAACGCATCAATGTTTCAAAACAATGTCCCTGACTTCATTGTCAAGATAAGAAAAGCCTCAGTAAGTATGAAGTATATTTTAATTAAAATAATGAATATTGTTTACATATTTCTGAAATTCCTATGTGACTTTTTACATGTTTTTGATTTAAAGAAGAATTATCTACAACCATACTACCCAAATTGTTTTTCGTGGCGAATGTTGATCAAACCATGAACAATGGGTTCAGGACATCAATAAGCACGCCCAGAACAACTTCGTTAAGTGTAATCTGGCACCAGTTTTATCAATTGTGTGTCTTGATCTGTTTAAGACTCGATAGCATTGCTTCGCGTAGATATCACACGGCCTGGCTTTACAGTGTCGTGTATCATGTCTTTAAAAATCGCTATATGTTCACTTCCGTATCCAGTTTTGAAAAAGCTGTCATTAAAACAATAAACGTTACTTTTCGACGTATAAGAAATTTAAAACCCTTTACATTATAGGAAGGATGTCAGATTTTTCACATGAAAAATGAAAGGAAGGTGCCAGTCAAATTTTTCGAAATTCAACCATGTATATGTACTTACAGTTTATCCATTTTTAAAGCTTCGTCTAATAATTCCATAGCACGTGCAGTTCTTTCTTGCTGACGTAATCGACGAGCTTCTCTTCTTTGTTCCAATCGTTCTGCTTGTCTTGCTCTTTCCTCTGCTCTTTGGGCGTCGGCTTTATCTAGATTCCTTAATATAGCTTTTGTTTCCTGGAAAATAAGTGACCAAATGACATTTTTTTATTCATATTTTTTAGGGCTTATTTGAGTAAACTTGAGTATGGTAATATCCATGTAATTTATTTGGAACAAAAGTCAGAAAGCATTCCAAGAATAAAGAATGGTACTGTTTTGGATGCTGCTTTCAATGCAAGCTCGCCTGTCCTACGCAGGGCGTTCTGTGCCTACTCATACCACTTCATTTCATACCCAACCGTTGATGAATTGAAGAAACTGAGATTGAAGTCTGTTAGTCACCTTAGGAAATAATATTTTGAAGTAAAGTTACTCAATTAGGGTTCAGTTGAAATTGGAAATTACCTCTTCTAAGGATTTTGGAAGTGGGGGTGTGCCTGGTAGACTCTGAGTACCATTTCTTAAAGCCCTAGCTGGTACAGGACTTCGACAGTAGTCTGCCAGTGTACCAGCACTCATAGAGGTAGGACTTCTCTCACTACCAGTAATACCCAATTTTTTGTTACGTTTATACTCTCTAATGTTGATACTGTTTTCATCACCATTAGATATTCCAGACATCCTTGAACTTGAACTCAGTCTGGATTTGGTTCTTTCGTTTTCAAACCTTCTTTCAGCTGTAGTATAAAACATTACACTATATAAAATATAAGTAAATGTCCCTGATTCAGAGTTAAAGTCAGTTTAAAGAACTTAACTTTCTTATAAGTTTCCAAAATTGCCAAATTTTTGTGATCATATCTTCCAAAATAAATTTCTATTAAGCCCTTTTTGTATTTTTACATAGGGCATCTATAATAATGACCGGAGAAACAGAAGTTAGAGAGTAAATTTCAATGAAATGATAGTGAAAGAATATTGGACTATAAAGATAGACTAAATTCTTACCGAGCATCCGAGAAGCAGCTCTAAGTTGGTCTGAATCATCTTTATAACTTAAGGCAGTTTGTTGCATTTCATATCTACAGTCTTCTATAATATCTATGATTAGTTCTGATTCTTGTTCATATAACTCTGATACGGTTTCCAGGAACAATTTCTGAAATAACGTAAGCTTGTTTTAAAATATCTTTAACCGTTTTACAGTATTTTCAGTTCTTCTAAACAGGCGGCGGATGGCGTCATAATACAACTGAAATATATGTATCTTAGAATGTTAATTTGAACCTAGAAGTAAAGATAGTCTAAACTTCTATAGTATATTTTTCTTGAACGGATAGGAAACTCGACGTCGGATATTTATTCTGGGAGGTACTATGGACGGCTGATATTTGGTTTTATCAACCGGATAAATAAATATTTAGATGACTGAGTCCCTTAAAGAAGTCTTTTTGATTCAGATGCAGTGATTTTTTGTAGAACAAAATCTGTATTTCATCGAGAGCTATTGTTTTCCATATAGTGTATTAGTTGTTCCGATATCAATAATTCCCTATAGAATGAAAGAAAGTAGGTCAAACTTCACTCAGTCCCCAAAGACCAAAATACCAGCCACCCAAAAACCAGTAGAGCCGGGGTGGGCTCATATTCTTTTGAGCAACGGTTAAAATGACTAATGAAATCACAGCTGTTTAAATACAATATTCATTGAATTTCTTTGAAGATTGATCCCCTTAAGAAACTAATAATTTGTTATTTCACGTGTGTTTGTGTTTTCAGAAGAAATATTCGCTGAAGGCCGAAACATATCTTTTGAAATAAGGGAAATGAAAAACAATATATAATTCATATCGATATTGCTAAATAGTACTAAAACGTAAAATAAGATAGATTATGCCTGAAGTTAGTTTCTTGACAGAAATTCTCAAGAACAACACAACATATCGATTGGTGGGTACAAATTCTGACTACTTGATTGTCATTGTGCCAAGCACAGGAACTATATTCAGTCATTTAGCAATGAATTATAGTTCTTATACAATAAATATATTAAGGATCAATGATGGCTCACTGTTATTGTGTCATAATCTGCCTACAAGATGGACACGATAATTTTGTATGAGAGTAAGTTTGTTCGGGTGTTTTATGAAAATGCAACAAAACACAAAAGAATATTATATCAGACGTTATTTTTAGATCAATTGTTGTATTTATGAATGATTAATACTCAGTCATGTTTGAAATCGATTAGTGGATTCTATCATCTTAAGATATCATTGATTGTTAAACAGTACTTCATATACATGTCTTACAATTCTTTTCATTATTCATGTACATGTATATTTACAATTACTTAAACTGTAGACAGTATTAAACAGTACATGTCCAGATCATCAATTAAAAATCTGTATTCTTCGGCAGGTTAATACGAATGTAATGAATAAAACAGGATTGTCTTCTAAATGGGAATTTAAGCGTCAGTGATTTCTAAATGTCACTCTGTACAGAACCATCCATACGCAAAACTAGCGCAGTGATCATAACGTGTAATGCATAAGATAATAAGCGTTATTACCTGGAATAAAATGCTATAAGTTGTAATATTTTGTTATATGAAGTCACTTTACAAGTATATTAATTAATCATTCGGGTTATTAACCTGCTTAAAAAGCAATAACATGATAAACTATGCCATTTACTAGCTTGGGTGCAGTCTTAATGCAAAACTTCAATTGTGTATTTGAACATGCAATGCGCCCGATAAAGTATGTTTTAACAAGCTTGCTAGTTCGTATATTATCAAATTTTCCATACATGTAAAATATGAATTATCGTCATTACTGGCTTTCTTATATGTAATATTTATAATTAAATTATAAAACTAAAACCGTGGAAGGCGTTATGTAGAGAAATAAATGAAAAATATCGACTGCGTTTGAGTTTTTCATAGTTTGAATTTCCAGCCAGCCCTTTTCTTATGTTGTCATTAAGTTTTCTAACGTGTAATGCAGCCTACATGTATTTAAGTTATTTTTTCTTCTGTCTTTCTTAAAGGTCATGTATTTGATCAGTTATGTTAACAAAAAAAAAAAACTTTTTCAAATGTTATGTATTTGATCAGTTCATTTCATTTTTGCATGCCTGACGGGTAATTATCTGGCCTTACAATCATCACTGTTTACTAGTATAAAATGAATGATTTAATGTATTTCGCTTCTAGGAGAGTATCTTCTATAACACCTATAACTATTTATTTATAATCTTTCAAAGGCATATTAGAAGCACAGGTTATAGATAAATAGGACAATTTTATGGATAGATACTTCTAGAATATTTATTATTTCAACGTTTCAATGTGGTTCTCACACCGTCATCAGGAATATAATTATTATATTCCTGATGACGGTGTGAGAACCACATGGAAACGTTGCGAACTCGATTTAGCGGCCATCGCTTTGATATAATTCATAGCGAAAATAGACCAATTTCTCATCATTTTAATTTACCTGACCATTCCATTGAAGACCTTCTTATCATGCCTATTGAATCAATTCCTGACTCTGATCTTATCAAACCAAAAACCAAACGATTACAGAGAGAAAGCTACTGGATGGACCAACTCCAAACAGTGGCTCCAAATGGACTTAACATCCAGCATGATAATCAAATGATTCCATTTGTTGCCACCTTTAATCATACAGCTGCCAAAACCTCATCCATCGTCAAACAGTATTACAGTGAATTACAGAACAGATTTCCGAATGTATATACCAAACGACTTGTAATTGCCTATAAGCGCAATAAAAACCTTAGTAATTTTCTGGTCCGTGGTAGACTCGATCCCATTGAATCCAATAATACTTGACCGCCCTCTCTATTTTCTAGCTCATTAAGTATAATATATTCTAATCCTTATATATAGATGTTTATCTTTTCAGAACCTATTCATACTCTTTTCTTTTAGAACTGGTAACAAGAAAACTTTCATATTATAGACTTTTGTTTATTGTAGATTACTCGTGGTTGTTTTTTTAACTTAATACTAACTATGCTAACTTCACCTTATCTTGTATTGAACATTTATCTCTTTATTTGTGACCTTGGCCAGTGCTTTACATAGAAGTTTTTAGGAACTTCTTCACTCTTAACACCAATCTCGATATAATGATGGAGTCACACGGCTTGGTGGATTATAAGTTGCACTTATTGAACTATTTACTTAATCAAGGCTTGATAGATCGTACCAATATGGTTGATAGATTATAAAGTTCCACTTTTTGAACTAATTTATTTCTTCACTTAACTTGTAAGATAAAGTACAACACGGCTTGACTGATTATAAATTTGGACTTTTGGAACTGATTTATTACTTCACCAGGTTTGATAGATAGTACCAATATGGCTGATAGATTATAAAGTTGCACTATTTGAGCTGACTTGTTACTTCACCTATCTTGTAAGATAAAGTACAAAATGGCTAAACTGATTATAAAGTTGAACTACTTCGACTGACTTATTACTTCACCAGGCTTGATAGATGGTGCCACTAGGCTTGATTATAAATTTGTACTCAAAAGACAATTTGTTGTTGCATTAATCTATATCAACAGAGCTTTATTGATTAAAATGTGTACAACATGATCCTAAAGATGATGTCAATTGTCAATATGTAATAATTGTATTCAAAGAGCAATAAATAATCAGAAAAATTGTTTAGGAAATTAAATTAAATGTAAATTGGGATGATGAAGGTTAAATTTGATTACTTACATCAATGACCAGAAATAGTTATCTCTTCACTCGAATATGCAACTTAAAGGAATACTACCTCTTAGAATGGCTTCACTTATCCTGCTGTTGTGATCTCATGAAATTATTCCTAGTATAACTAAAGGCTCAACACATTTAAATCAATTATGAAAAGATTTGAAAAGAACATATGGCCCTAAAAATATGGCTTACTTACCCTCATATCTGGTGATAGTTGTTTAAGTCTGGAACAAAACTCACCATTACGTTGTAACTCATCCATTTTGATTTGATTAGAAATGAACACAAGCTATATTAGATTTGTGAATTGTTCAAATAAAATTCTATTGATTCATCCACCGGAACAATTTGTCAATAAATAAAATTTAGAAATTGTTTATGTCACAAATTCCAAGAGCTTAATCCTTTTGTGAAACTGAAATTTATGTCTTCAAGTTCCTGAGAAAAAATGTCGTCGCCTTGTGAATTGAGATTAAAATTTCCGATCAATATTCGAGTAGTTTATAATATCCAACATTTCAACTGCTTTTTTGTTTTGATTCGAAGAGACTTTAGAACTATGTCATCGTAATAATAATCGTTTTGTCTTTCCCAAGATTCCAATTACTAATCAATACGCTGAAAGTTATAATTTATTCATTTTCTATTTTGAAATTCTAGTTTTTAAAAGAAGAACACATCCACCAAGTCTTTATTATCAATATATATGTTTATATACCGTCCTAAACACTTCAGTTACCATGGTGTCAAAGCTTTCAATTCGATCAATTAAGGAATTCAGCGATAGGACGGTACATACCAATGTCAATTGGCGTCGTTGTAGTCATGGTAACCACATTGTCATCCCGTTTGGAACCATTGACAGGAAGTTTAAAAGTAGTAGAATTATTACAAGAGAGCGTTAAGTAAAGTATCTATCTATGTACATTAGTAGCCAATTGAATGGTATTTTGTTATTCTGAAGTCAATTAACCTCGGTCACATATAGCTCTATATTTAGCAATATTTTTATATTCCAACACTTCCTTTATCGTCCAATGCTAATACAAATGTTATCATAGCAGATAACGAAACGTCTATAATTAACGGAGAACAGTATGCATTCTTTGATCTTTTTACAACGATGACCTAATCTATATATAGTCTAAAACAGAGAAATAAAACAATGATCCCCGGCAGAGGTACCTTTTTCGATTCCCATGGATGGCATAATATATATATTTGCTTTCTCAGCTAACAGAGTTCAATTTCAAACATGCTTATGGCTTTTCCTAATTCTAATATCCCCATCGTTTTAGACATTCTAAATGAGCTGTCTGTATGACTTTTCATAATGAAAATGACACGTGGTTTGGTGACCTTATTGGTATCTTGATAATTAAACTATCTTTGTTGAGTATGAAGTGAATTGAGCACCTGTTGGGAATTGTGGATTTTATTCATTATATAGTTATAACATAAAATAATTAACCATAACCAATAATAAACAACACAGCAACAGTTCTTTAATGGGCTTTGTAATCGTCATAAAATTTCCCCAGCCGATTCAATGTTGCCGAATGTCTATTCATTAAATCGGTAGAAGTATTGATAAAGGTTGTATTTTTGTAGAACCTTGTCACGAACCATGAATATCTTTCAATCACAGGAGAGGCTTCCAGAAGCGGTAGAATCGACTGCATGTAATGAAGCTGTTCGTCTACGGTTTTAGCAGTATGGCACGCAAATTCTGTTAACCAGATTTTCTTCTTGAAATGATGTGACACCTTCTCCAAGGAATTTATCAACTCGTGAGGGTTGCAGTGATAAGCATGAACTGCTAGGGCGTCCACACGACAATTTTTACAGCCGTTGAAAAACTCGGTAAACCAATGAATGCACTGCTGGGCTCTGTGACATCCAGCGACAGCTGGACTAATGAGGGTTTTACCAACAGATTTTCTTTCCACTTCCGGCCATAACTGTGCAGCTCTCTGTGGTGTCATATTGGCTTGACTCTTGACGTTAGGTTCATTGAAACCGAGAACATGTTTGGCTTGATTTGGTACCGTAGATGTATTCATTCGAGCCTCACCCCACAGCATTGGTACATACTCTCCCCTTGGCGTATTGTGACAGTTATGGCGGTGGTGTTCTATTTGGTCAGTATGCCAATCGTACCTGTAAAATTAATGCAAACTGAATATAATATATATTAAAGATGGGTTTCCTTATTGTTATTGTCGATTAGAACACCTCTACTTTCTATTCATATAAGAATTAGCATTTTCATTTTCATAAATATAAATAAACGAACTCATCTTTAACGCGCCAAACATGATGTGGTTAAAGAAATCGTGATCGTGAACAGTCTTCTGACAGGCTAGGAATAGGAAGCATACTTTGCTGGAAACTAAAAAACTCAAGTTAGATTGGCGTGTAGGCCTACAGAAAACTACTTATCCAAGATTCAAAAGGTTATATAGCCCAATTATATCTAGTAAAAATAACCTTACCACCAACTGATGTCTTGGAAGGCATAAGTATCATTACAGAAATACTGACCAGGGCTCATACATATTCCTTTCTTTTGACTACAATTTATAAACCAAATTCCAATAGCAGTCAGAGTAACGACCAAACGAGCCAACATGTTTGAGAGATAATATGTGTAGAACAGAGATAAAATATGGCCCTGTATTCTGTTTATCAATCCTAGCCTAGTTCCTTCAAAATTGAAACATTATGTAGTTTGGGAGAATCCAAAAAAAAAACTATCAAATTAACAAGAGCTTTGAAAACTTTGATGGAGCATTCCAAAATTAATGTATATCATGTGTATAATATGTAGCCTATTAAAGCGCCCAACAGTCAGTCTTTCCATGTGGGATATCTCCTTTTATATTTAACAAAGTTTCCTTTTTTGTGTAACCAACTACATGGCGTTACCCGTCTTTATAAGCCTATTCAAGATCAGTAAGGAGAACGCTAAACTCTTTTTAAAAAAAACATCAATTGTTATATTGCAAGAAAAATCATCCCTCATGGCCAATTAACACTGGTCGATTTTTTTGAGGATTGTCAGTGCATTTAGTTTGTAAATTATTAAGATATATATTTTATTATAAACCAAACAGGCAAATTAAGCATAATTATTAGGCTAATGATAACGAAATATTTTTACGGTTGCTCGAATTTTTTTTTATAGATAATCCATTTGGTCGTTTTGACAAACGCGTTCAGGGATCTGTTGCTCAGAAGGGTGAGCATACTGTGTCGATCAGGTCCCACTGTTATTATGCTGCAATGATAGGCCTACTATGTTTCATCAGTCCACTCAATCATCCTTCGTCTTCCCAGAAAACAAATATGATTATGATTAGATATTAAACGTCAATATACAAGTCGTATTTAATAATTAAAAAATATGTTCAATGGTAATGGTTCATTATATTTGCATACTTAATTAAGCGTGCATTTACAGGTCCATAACCATACGAATTATCGTATAGGCCTATAAATATAACTATAAACGAAATTGTGATACGACAGCAGTGAGAAAACCATTGTTATCCCGCGTCATTGATTATATGTATGTTTTATACGAATCAAAAGTCGCTTAATACTGGGAAAATGTCTCATTCAATATTTAACCAAGTTTTAACGCAATCGTGAATTACTCCTACTTTACTTGTTACTTATGATCTCTTGTCACTTTTGCAATATCGCTAGTACAGGAACCAATATAGCATAGAAAATATTTCACTCAAATAAATTGTTAGCTATATGCCGAAGGATAATGTAGGACAGAGTATGTTGGAAAACAAAATTATAGATGTCCTGTAGTAATCAATTTAGTAATTAACTCCCTTCGTTCTCACGTGACAATTCTGCCTCGGTTTCGAAATTAAAAAACCAATATGGTTGCTAAATTTTGGGAATTTGCTGTCCGTGTAAATAGTTGAGCTTGTAATGCTATTTAAAAAGAAAAATCGTTTTATTCTTTACCAAGCATGGCCGAAAATGACCTGATTGCAAGGTTGCCGTCCTATGAAGATGACTTTCGTGTTAGCGCCATTGAAAATGTCAATGAACTGGACTTCATCAATGATGATGATAACTTGGATAATTTGTTTTTTCATCGTGTCGACTCTGCACAAATTATTTACCAGCCCCGTCGTCGACGAGCCAAGTTGATAGGTCGATATTTGATGGGAGATCTTCTTGGTGAAGGTTCATATGGAAAAGTCAAAGAAGTTTTAGACACAGACAGTTTGTGCAGGCGCGCTGTCAAAATTTTGAAAAGAAAGAAATTGAGAAAAATTCCAAATGGAGAAGAGAATGTTAAAAGGTGGTAGTCACATTCCTTGTCTCGACAACTCACTCTCATGTTTGATTAGTCCTCTATAATGACCTGTATTTACCTTACCACAGTGTCATCATGTCATTAAAGGCTGATTTTCGAAATAATGGATTCAGAAGTTTTGTTAGTGGCCCTACTGAATACTAAGAATTGGCTCTCATAACATAGTAGCATACCATGAAAACGAAGTTGCTTACCATAATCTAAATGGATCTAAGTGTAGTCCTATATAGCTATAGCAAAAGCTTAGGGGGAGACCATCATCTGCAGTCTGCACATGCATCACCTTGGATGTAAAAATACCATCTAGGCTTCTAATGTACGATACGGTAGTAAAACTGTTGAAAACTCTTCTTAAAATGACAGGTTTGCCATTAGTTTAACAATTGTACCTTAGTCTCGAATGATTTTTAAGTAAGCTAATCATTATGTAATGTTCACAACTTACAAGCGAAATTTGAGCCTTCAAATCCATGTGTCCAGAATTATCTGTGTTTGACATATAAAATGTCTTTTCTTGAGACTCTGCCTTTAGAAAAGACATACAGAAAAAGAAAGTAAACTTCCTATATTTTTGAAGGAATAATGCGATTTTTTTACATCCCTTATACTTCTGAGGAATGTTTACATATATTCATGAACCAAATCAACCTTACCATATTTAAAACTGAAGTTTACTCAACCCAACCCTAAAAGAAGTTACTGTAAAGTAATGGTATTGCTAACATCTCATATGATCTATATGCAGAGTGTGGATGGTGATCTCTTATAAGAAGAGCTTATTAGAAGCTGAAAAATTATAATCATAGTGTGATTTTAAGCCTAATGACAGGAATTTTTTTTTTTTTTTTTTTAATCAATTAAAGATATATTACTTTTCAGAGAAATTCAGTTTTTGAAACGACTGCATCATAAAAATGTTATTAATTTAGTTGATGTTTTAACAAATGAAGAAAAACAAAAAATGTAAGTGTTCTACTTTTTTAAATGGGGTAAATATATATATTTTAATGCATGTGATGAATATGCAGCACCACAAACTTCTCCATCAAGATTATCGCTATTGTCACCAATAAGACAAGTCAGTTACAAACTAGGGTTCCTTTTAAGTTGAGTCAAAATGACCCAATAATTAGGAACTGGCAGAATCAACCCGCTTGGTGGAGCTGTAGTGTGGTAGGACATCTCAGTAGCGACTGTTATATAAACTTGTGTTTACTTATATAAGATTATAGTTCTGCTTTTCTTGGCATAGCATAATGTCAAATTTGACTAGTGTACCTATTCTAAAAATAGAATTCCGACAAAAGACCTAACCAAAGAGCAATATAGATGACTATTCATACATTTTGTGCCATTTTTATATGCCCACATCTCTCTATGTGATTTTAGATTTTTGATGGAATCAAATGAAATTCAGTATGTGAATACATATTCATAAAATGAAGATCAAGTTCGAATTTGAACTATTTTCGACCGTTAAAAGCAGAGTTATTGCCCTTGCCCCAAAATCTTGAATATGCTATTACTCTCTTAGTTTTCAACAGATTTTGATGAAACTTAAAATGGATGTTTACCATCCGCATGTCGTGAAGGGCGTATATGGTTGTGGTCCACTATCTTTAACTATAGAAATCAAACATTTTAGAGTTGTTTTACTGTAAGTTCGCAGGAAATCAGACGTATTTCGGCATTGACAATCGATAGACGATAGTAACTAACGTCTTGTTGATCCAGCATGACACGCACTCTTAGTATACATTGCCGTCAATTCTACATTTTATACAGTCAATTTTCTCAAGAATTTGCTGAAAGGCAAATTTAGCAAAATGGATAAAGATATAGAATTTGGGTGAAATATTTTTTTGAAACTTGTGTAAAATTGATATTTACTCCTAAGTCAACTTCAAACTGCCGTTTCTCAGAGACGCATGCCGATGAAACATTTTTAAAAATATTGTTTAAAAGCGAATTCAATTCCGCTTTATAATATGTATAGCATGTCTTAAGGTGAATTTCATGGATTCTTATAGGAGCTGGTAAAGACGTCAAGGTAGTGATTCTGCCTTTTTAGACGTGGCTGACTCAATGGTGCCAGTACCCGATTCCTTTGATAAGCCAAAATTGAAATTTATCATGACAATCTGTCAATCAAATCAGATTGCATATATCCATATAGAATTTCAAGTAAATTCATGGTTGTCTCTATAACCTGAAAGAAGTAACATTTTAGACAAGATCGACCTTAAGTCTACAACTTGAATATTTTGAATTGCTACCAAATTTTAAGGGAATACAAATCATGAATTTTTTTATTGTGATTTCAACCCTGTTACAAACCTATTACCTATGTAACCTTATTATTTGTAAGAATACTGATTTTAAAATTTTCAGGTATATGATTATGGAATATTGTGTTAGCGAATTACAAGAGATGTTGGAAGGAGTCCCAGATAAAAAATTTCCAGTAATGCAAGCTCATTTGTAAGTATTGAAATATGCATAAGATTGAAAAATACCAGCAAGGTATGAAGATGAAGCTTAATATTGGTTTCCAGTCAAAATTGGTCAAATAAGTGATGGTGAAGATGATTGGCAGCCTTATTCCAAGAGCTGACAATTTATATCACAAAGACTGTAATGTTTATTTTTTACTTTCATATCTCAGTCTCAGAATTTTTTAGCTTAGCCAATCAGCTACAGTGTTCACAGCTCACTGTCAAAATCCATGATTATCCGCGTTTGAATGTTAAAAAGACAAGTTGTATTTTCTTAAGACACTGTCATATAATATATAGAAAAGACATCTATAGAAATAGGAAAATAAATTCCATTTTTGAAGGAATTATGCGATGCGATTTCTAGTTCTCATGAAGACTACATATATTCAAGATTCAAATCAACACCCCAAAATGGCGTATCTGTCTTTTTAAATGATGAAACATAATTTTTGGTACAGTGAAACTCCTCTTACCGGTTTAGAGGTTTTCTCTGCATTATATCTCTTCCAAAATTATTTTTATTTTCCCCTCAGTAGTAAAATGCTATTTTGTTAATTTGCAGTTATTTTTGTCAGTTAATTGATGGCTTAGAGTACTTACATAGTCAAGGGATTATACATAAGGATATTAAACCTGGTAATCTGTTATTAACAACAAATGAAACTCTGAAGATAACAGATTTAGGAGTAGCTGAGGTAAGTGTTTTTGTTTTATCATTCAATAATTAACATTATCTTGAAGTTATAGGATGATGGATTTCAAGTTGAATTGGATAATAATATCATGTATCATCTTAATGAGAAACTTAAGATAGTAACTATTAACAAAGCTAAAAACCTCATTTTTTATGAAAATTTCATATGCAGATATTTAACTTGCAAATATTTGACACCCTTTAAGGCATTACCACCATTTGCTGTTGATGATACTTGTAAAACCAGTCAAGGTTCACCAGCCTTTCAACCTCCCGAAATTGCTAATGGTTTAGATACATTCTCAGGATTCAAAGTAGATATTTGGTCTTCTGGGGTAACTTTGTAAGTATTAGAATTATTTTCAATGAAGGATAATATATAATAATGATAGATGATTAATAGAAAGCATAATATGTCTAATCTAAGTGAGATTGTCATATGAATTTGACAACTGGTAAATATCTATTTAAAGGTGATGATATCTATAAATTTTCACTTGTTTATTTATTTAACAGATTTAATATAACAACTGGTAAATATCCATTTGAAGGTGATAATATCTATAAATTATTTGAATGTATTGGTAAGGGTGTATATCAATTACCTTCTGATATGGAAACTTTATTGTCTAGTCTCATAAATGGTAAGAATTTCATTTTTTATCCACAGAAATGGTTTGGGTGTACATTGTTATCTCCCTGTCAGTCCGTCAGTTCAAATTTGGCTTGTGCTCACTGTACGGGCTATAATTATTTACCGATTCTTTTGCTTTTGAATTTTTGGTTCAATAGCCGCCATAAAAATGCTTGAAGTGAACCATTCTCGGCCCAGATGGCCGGTACCACTGCACTGTAAAATAAGATTTTATTATTGTTATTTTCATTGGGCCAGAATGGTGCAAGCCATTGCAAACACTATGTATTCTATTATGACATTACATGTCAAAGGGTCAAAGTCATTATTGCACATGTGCACTTCTCCTTGGGTGAATGAGCTCTGCGATGTGTTAACATTGTACAGATATTTTGCCATGCCGTCCTCAGTCTGCACCGTGACCACCTCTTCTTGCGGAAATCCGCCTACTTGTAACTAACACTGTCCTCTCAAATTTGTGGCTATGTAAATGCGGCTAATGTCATTATGAAGATTACCCCTATTTTCGTGTTGATCTGATAATTTTCACAGAAATGGCATTTCCAACCTAGCATAATCACTCTATTAGCTATATGATGCAACTTTTGCTCACACTTCAGGCAACAATTTTTTATGGATTCTTTTGATTTTTATATGTAGTATAGAAGCATATTGCTGTCCATCCATTCACACTTTTGCTATTTGGTCTCTGGAAAAGTTAACCTGAAATTATTCTGAAAACCTTTTTTGTCATCTTTAAAATTATTCTAAAGCTTTTTTGTTTTTTTTTTCTATATTGTGAACGTCTCAAGTGAGAAAAACCTGATGGTTAAATTGACCCTTTTCTCAGATGATGGGGATCGGTGTGATCATTCAAATGACAATGCCATGCTTTCTGAATCAGATATTGCATACAGACATAAGAAATTTAATTTTCACTTGTAGGTATGTTAGAATATGATCCAAAGAAAAGATTAACTATAGAACAAATTAGAAATCATGAGTAAGTTTCAACTTTTGTTGCTCTGAGAAATTGAGGATTAATCAATAGTAGTACTTAAGACTCAATGTGGTAATGGATGCGGTATTGCTTCTTCTGACTCGTGCAGATACATTTGGAGTGATCAGCTTAGCCAAAATATACTAAAAATAAAATTCATATATGGCTAGAGCAGGACAAATTGCAGTATATACTTTTAATATCAATGACATTATTGCTGATATCTTTTGTAGGCTTCTACAAAAATTAAGCTACTTGTTCTAATTGCTTGTTTTCTTTCTAAAAGTTTATAATTGTGTTTTTTAGTTGGATACGTAAAAAACAACCTGTGTTATTAGACTGGGTCAAGTTACCTCCTAAATCAGGAAATGATGATGATATATATCGTAGTATGACAGTTGTACCCTATTTAGAAGATTTACACTATGGTACACCAAGTGAAGAAGATGAAGAACAATTTTTACCTGATGGCTTTACTCAACCAATACCCATTACACAAAGTAAGTTTTATTTGCAGTAACTATATTTCTATATATCCATTATGTAGACCTTTAACAAATTGACTCCTCATACTTATCTTTTTCTCAGCTTCCTATAGACTAGTTTGAATTTAATTTTTATGCGCCCACATTGAAGTATATATTGCCATTCCCCCTGTCCGTTTGTCGGTTCGCCTGTTTACACTTGTTGTAAACATTCGAAATTGACCGAAATTGGTAAAAATCGGATGAATGGTTTCAGAGTTATTGCCTTGATTTTGTAAAAAAACACTTCAATTTGGATTGAAGGCATGATAGAGACTATTATTTTCATCCGATCCTGATGTGCATGTATATATTGATGGGATCTCGGTCAAGTTCGAATTTGGTATTAATCAGAAGAATGGTTTTGTTGCTGTATGTGCGTCGATGAGACCTTGATGAATTATTTTTGAGGTTTTGCCTTGACTTTTGATTATTTGAAAATTCATTATTAAGCCACTATCTTCACATTTGACATCTGTTGCATTTCAAACTGAGAAGACATAATAGATGTCAGTTACAAAACTGTTTCTGTTATTGGTTTGGCTATAATTTGTATACTCAATTTCAAATCATCTATCTTACAGCTGGAGATTCTACTACTGTTGAAAGATGTGAGATCGAAAATGCATCTAAAATCAATGCAAACGGTAAAGAAAAACCAAAGAAAAGGAAGAAAGGAGCTAGTAAATTTGGGTTTGGGTCATGTAAACAATCTTGATGATTGGTCATTTTAGTGAATATTTTAATTGTGATTAATGTTGAGATATTGGAAATATCTAACTGTTTAGAGTGCTAGAATGAAATGGAGTGTTATTGTGATAAGAGAATGAAAGGGTGTTACAGTTTCATATGTACTGTATTTCAAGAGGAAATTTATTTTACCTGGAAACTTCTGATGATAGAAGTATTATGTCCCACTCATAATGTGAGATGTCTCATTATTTATCAAGATTGATTTGGTCTCATAACAAAGTTTCAGCAATTTTGATTTGTGGCATTTCTATTTTTATTGATTTGGTGTTTTATTTGATATCACATTATTTATCAGTTGCATTTACTTTTATATTAGTATAAATTGCTGGCAATTATTTCATGGAAGCTTTGTCCTGTACCTTACAGTCTGGTTAAATTTCAAATTCTTTTCTGGGATACGATGGATATTGCTTATGTGTTTATAGGTGATTGGAAAAGGTAAAAAAAAACAGTTGTCCTTTAATTCAGCCTAAGAATAGACACAAATTTGTTTGCATGTATGAACTTTTATTATTTATCTTGTTATTAACAAAGGTCTTGAAAGTATCTTTAGTCTGTTCATCTTTAAATTTAGTTGACTTGAAATATGAAACCGTTTACCATATAAAAAAGTTATGATAGATATACAATGTGTTGATGAATGTTAGGAAATATTTCAATAATTTACCAAACAAAACTTTTGGGAAGGAGTTTTTATACGCCCACATCTCTCTATGTGGACGTATATTGTCGGCACCCCTGTCCGTCCGTCCGTCAACATTTGCTTGTAAACGCTCTAAAAACTAGAGTTTTTGATGTAATCAAATGAAATTCAGTATGTGTATACATATTCATAAAATGAAGATCAGTTCAAATAAGAAGCAGAGTTATTGCCCTTGCCCCAAAATCTTTAATATTTACCATCCGCATGCTGCGGTGGGCGTATATAGCTGTGGTCCACTATCTTTATTTATTCAAAAGAAAGAGACTTTCAGTGATATTATTTGAACTGAACGGTGACTAACAAAACCATGAATTCCATATTTTCTTGAACAGAATGTAGTCAGTAGGTGCATCATATCAGTTTCAATTAACCCATAACTAGCCAGCCTACACCAAGATCCTAATTATTGTTGACAGTTGACCAGTTATGGGTTAATTCTCATTCATATCATATTTTATGTGGTAAAGGATGTGTTTGGTGTGTATTATGTCTCATGTTTCATATCATTTGTTCTCTATAAAATAATTCAAATTGTTCTGACTAAAAGAAGAATGAGTCCTATTTCACAAAAACAAATCAAATAATCTAGATTTAATATAGTTACTAATCATTAAGATGATATGAAGACGAAATGGCTCCAAGCAGAGTATTGAATTAGTTGAACGAAAATTTACAAATCTTATCAAGAAACGCCCCTATATGTTGGTATCATGAAAGATTAGGTATTGCATCATTTACTTAATGTACCAGAATGTAATGTAAACTTGTAAATTAAAATGCTAGATAAGCCATATACATATTTAGTATAGCCTTTGAAGTGGTAAAGACCTCTAATTATTTACTTGAACAGTTAATAGAACTTGAAATTTGTTAATTTTACCTATTTTCATCAGTGAAAAGTTAAAAAAAAAAAAACATACAGTATCATTCTGTTAACTTTCCTTTTTGAAATGTGTTAAGAATAACTTTTGAGTATTAACAGCTGAAGAAGAGAATGATTAGGGCACTGTATCCCTTTAATAATTATATACTGTTGACTTTACTATAATCTTTTTTTTTTTATTGACATGATTTTTGTTTTATTTTGTCCCAATTAATTACTGGTTTGTCATTCTTATTATTTATGTTATATGGAATCATTTTCAGATCATTCATTGAGTGAATACTAACATGTTAATCAATTGCCTGAATATTAATATTCTTTACAGTGCTAAGTTTGTCAGGATAGTTTACCATTTAAAAGCATATGAGAAATATTTGAGATTTTAAATGTTAAGGTTCAAATGGGGTGAAATATTAAAATTTGGGCTTGATTTATAAGTCTCGATTTACTTGTTATTATTTATAATTAATTTGAAGTTGAAGGTAACACCAAGTTTTAAATCTATAGTTTATTAGACAGCTGTGAAGATTGTATAAAATCATTACAAGTATTTGACTTTTGAAATACTTTTGAATTTTCTAGTGTGATAAATATAATCAGCATACAGTGGTACTTTGTCACTAAAAACTCAAGAAATAAAATTTATATGATTACTTATCCAAAAATTGATCCAAGCTTTGAGAAAATTTCATTAGCTAAAAGATTATAGAATAAGCTTGTTGGTACCTTTAATTATTATTTCATTAGTAATATTAAGTTGTAACCTGTTATATATATTGATCAATATAATATAAATATGTATATATTATAAAAATATGTTATTTGTTATACATGTAAAAAAAAAAATCCTCAATAATAACAGTTTTTAAAAGTTTATTTTTTTTAAATCATTATAAAATTATCTTTAATTTACTGAAAATGCAGTTTCTTTCTCCCTTGGAAAAAAGCATTGTTCATCAAATGGGACAATTAACTGAGGCTTTGTGTACTAAAGACTGCGCAGGCTTCAAATGATTCGCCAGTTGGATATAAAATAGATAGGATAAAGCTGCTTTTCAGTCATAAAGATTCAGAAAGCAAGTCTATCACATTTTTCACTAGCCTTTTCCTTTGAATTTTCCATTTTAGCAATCCTGGAACCAAACTGTATAGCTCTCTTAGGAAAACAGCTTGTTGTTGTCAAACCTAGTTGTGTAGCTGATAATCTTAATAATAATTTCTCCCCTAGGCCCCTGGGTAAATCTAGCTGTGCCTGAAAGATAACAGGTAATAAAAAGATAGCTTGCCAGGCAAGGTAATATACGCCCACTGGCAGCTTTGATTTTAAATAAAAATATTTACTGGTAGCAGTAACTGTTACAATCACCAGTATGAAATATTCAACCTTCAGTCATACACTTCTTTTGAACTCTTTATCGCGATACTGAATAATATTGAGTATAAGTTATAGCCCTAGTTCTTGAAAACGTGTTCAATTTTTAGCTAGTGAAAACTCTACAAGGCAAATATTCAATCTTCAGCGCGGGACTGAATAATTAAACTAAGTTTTGTCAAAATCCAGCAAGAATCATGCCTGATAAAAATTGAACGACTTTTCAAGAACAAGGGCAATAACTCATACTACATATTTTTCGATTTCCCTGATTTTTCTATAGGGTTTATTCTTGGGTGAATACGAACACTCATACCAAGTTTCATCAAAATCTGTCAAGAATTGTGCCTTCTAGAGTGTTTACGAGCTAAAAATTGAACGCGTTTGCAAGAACAAGGGCAATAACTCATACTAAATATTTTTCCTATAGTAGCCTACTTATCCAGCAACTCAATTCAATCTTCCAAGAAACGAAACCTTTCCCCCATGACCAATGTTTAATTTCATTTTTGTATCAGCGCAATTGGTGAAAATGAAATGATTAAGCAAACCTTTTCTCTCGGATGACATTTATAAAATGAAATCAGATAAACTGCTGCATCTTGGGATGTCACATTACTAAACTATGATTGGATATCTGTCTTGGATTTTCCACTTGGTCTATTTATAGTATCTTATGATGCTGTACATGTATGGTGGCTGGTTAGGGACATGTTAAATGATTAAATTAAATTTTCTTATTTGTTAACCAAAATAGTTTCTCAGGAAAATAATGACATCTATTGTAAATTGTGATTATGAACAAATAAATTGTGACTGGTAGAGTCTGTCAAGAATTGTGCCTCCTAGAGTGTTTACGAGCTAAAAATTGAACGCGTTTTCAAGAACAAGGGAAATATTTCATACTACATATTTTTCGATTTCCCTGATTTTTCTATAGGGTTTATCCTTGGGTGAATACGAACACTCATACCAAGTTTCATCAAAATCTGTCAAGAATTGTGCCTTCAAGAGTGTTTACGAGCTAAAAATTGAAGGGTTTGCAAGAACAAGGGCAATAATTCATACTAAATATTGTTCGATTTCGCTGATTTTCAATAGGGTTGATCCTTGGGTGATTACAAACACTCATACGAAGTTTCATTAAAATCCATCAAGAATTGTGCCCTGTAGAGTGATTACGAGCTAAAAATTGAACGTGTTTTCAAGAACAAGGGCAATAATTCATACTAAATATTTTTTGATTTCGTTGATTTTCAATAGGGTTTATCCTTGGGTGATTACGAACACTCATACCAAGTTTCGTTAAAATCCTTCAAGAATTATGCCTTCTAGAGTGTTTACGAGCTAAAAATTGAACGCGTTTTCAAGAACAAGGGCAATAATTCATACTTAATATTTTTCCATTTCGCTGATTTTCAATAGGGTCTATCCTTGGGTGATAGCGAACACTCATACCAAGTTTCGTTAAAATCTGTCAAGAATTATGCCTTCTAGAGTGTTTACGAGCTAAAAATTGAACGCGTTTTCAAGAACAAGGGCAATAATTCATACTTAATATTTTTCAATTTCGCTGATTTTCAATAGGGTCTATCCTTGGGTGATAACAAACACTCATACCAAATTTCGTCAAAATCTGTCAAAAATCTGTCCGACCGACGGACATGGGTGACGACAATATACGCCCCCCATTTCATGTGGGCGTATAAAAATTAAATTTGAATTGATATTCCAGGTTGTCTATGTCAGTTATAATTGTAAGCTAAGGCCTTACATTATTTGAATACCTTTGTTCTACTGTACATAAATTAATAATAAATATAAAATTGTAAATACCTTCATATGTATTGGTAAACTACTGAGATGGGTTACTACATGTTCATCTAAAAACGGAAACCTTGCTTCTTTACCATGATCACCTATAATTCTAAAAAATAAATTAGTTTTCAAATACTTAGAATAAATAATATGCAAATAGCCAAATAGGTAAGCATGATGAAAGGGAGTATAGAATCCTAAACCTTACACCAGGATCAAGCTAGTTTCTGATTCCTGAATTGGTTAGAAAGTCATTTTAGCTTTACATATAAAAATGAAGCTGTAGCACATCCTTATAATGAGCCACTCATGCTGTTAGTTGTTTTAAAGAATTAGTATCAAAACCCTACCTATCATCTCTACCTAAATTTCTTGATGAGATACGTTTAATTTCCATGTTCATTTCCTCTAATAATCCTTTCCATCCCCCTTCGCTGAAAGAAATCAATTATATTATTTACATTAGCAAAGATTTTGTATTCTAAAAGCAGGGTGAACTGAATTAAATCAAGTGATTTAAATCTTGATTTAAACATAAAGATTTTCTTTAAAATTATTGGTGTAAATCAAAGAGATATAAATTGTACAAATTAATAATAATGATAAAGGGAGATGGATTGGAAAACAGGGGATTGAACCCATGACCTCATAGTTAGCAAGGAAGCGCCATACTCAATGAGCCCTTGAACCAATCAGAAAGACTACATACACTATGTTCTCTTATGATTTTTAAACTGAACCTATATTTCAGTTGAATTACAGACACTAGTTTGCATCTTTGCCTGAATAATGAAAAGGGGCTAATTGACACATTTTTGTTTGAAGAAAAGCATTTTAAGACAGTTTCACAGAATATAACTAAAAAAAAAAAAAAGAAAAAATACCAACCCGTTAAAATCTTTTGACATTTTAATCAGTAACATTGTGAAATTCAATGGAAATAAATTAACTAAATATGTTTACCTGTATCTACTTCTATGTCTAGAATAACCAGCCAATTGTTCATCAGCACCCATACCACATAAAATAACCTTTAATTTAAACAAAGATACCACATAAAATAACCTTTAATTCAAACAAAAATACCACATAAAATAACCTTTAATTCAAACAAAAATACCACATAAAATAACCTTTAATTTAAACAAAGATACTAAATAAAATTCCATTTGATTCAAACAAAAATACCACATAAAATAACCTTTAATTTAAACAAAGATACCAAATAAAATAACCTTTAATTTAAACTATTATACCACATAAAATAACCCTTAATTTAAACAAAGATACTAAATAAAATAACCTTTAATTTAAACTATTATACCACATAAAATAACCCTTAATTTAAACAAAGATACTAAATAAAATAACCTTTAATTTAAACAAAGATACCAAATAAAATTACATTTTATTCAAACAAAAATACCACATAAAATAACCTTTAATTTAAACAAAGATACCACATAAAATAACCTTTAATTTAAACAAAGATACCAAATAAAATTACATTTAATTTAAACAAAGATACCACTTAAAATAACCTTTAATTTAAACAAAGATACCACATAGAATAACCTTTAATTCAAACTATTATACCACATAAAATAACCCTTAATTTAAACAAAGATACCACATAAAATAACCTTTAATTAAAACAAAGATACCACATAAAATAACCTTTAATTTAAACAAAGATACCACATAAAATAACCTTTAATTAAAACAAAGATACCACATAAAATAACCTTTAATTTAAACAAAGATACCACATAAAATAACCTGTAATTCCAACAAAGATACCACATAAAATGACCTTTAATTAAAACAAAGATACCACTTAAAATAACCTGTAATTAAAACAAAGATACCACATAAAATAACCTGTAATTCAAACAAAGATACCACATAAAATGACCTTTAATTCAAACAAAGATACCACATAAAATAACCTGTAATTCAAACAAAGATACCACATAAAATAACCTGTAATTCAAACAAAGATACCACATAAAATAACCTTTAATTCAAACAAAGATACCACATAAAATAACCTTTAATTTAAACAAAGATACCACATAAAATAACCTTTAATTTAAACAAAGATACCACATAAAATAACCTGTAATTCCAACAAAGATACCACATAAAATAACCTTTAATTTAAACAAAGATACCACATAAAATAACCTTTAATTTAAACAAAGATACCACATAGAATAACCTTTAATTTAAACAAAAATACCACATAAAATAACCTTTTTAAACAAAGATAAAATAAACCTGTTATTAAATAAAGATTGCTGTACCTTGGCTTTACTTTTGAATGACTTTCCTTTGTTTTCTCCATTACCTACAATACCATGTCCTTTAGCAGCAAACCATAAAGCACAACCTATACTATCATCTAATACTGTACAGGATGGATATACTAGATGACGAACCCGTTCTGATCTAAAAATATATCAATATTAATTCCATTACTAAACTTTGATTCCAATGCAAAACAAAATTAAGAGGGCTCAAAAAGCCTTGTCTTATTTGTTGTGAAATACTATTGTAATAAACATTACTTTTTGATACACAAATCCCTAGAAATTTTTCATTATGCTCGTATTCAATCACAAAGGTAACTTCAACTGATATATTATTATTTGTGGACATTGAGCTCATTTAGTAACAGTAGTTTCCCTACAAAAATGTTGTATGTAAATTAGGTATACCTGACTTGTATCAGTTCTTTTTGTGTAACATTAATCTGAAATATTGTAAAATACAGCTATAATATTCATATAATAATCATACCCTCCGTACTTTTAATGTAATAACCATATAGTTCATATTCTCCAATTCACAGTCGAAGTCCACAACCAAACACCCCTTAAATCTTTAACTAATTCTTTTGAAATTAAGTATAGTCAATAAATTTGATGTTGTACATTACCTCTATGAAATTCCAGTGTCTATTAGGGTTTAATTCTGATAATGCTTTATGGCCAGTTAGTCTATCAGGAACATTAAACTTATCTTTAACAATACTTCTATAAAATAAAGAGTTTAAAGTGATATTCTAGGATGGGGTGTAGCACAGTTGGTTTGACATCATTTTTGAAAGTCTGGTGACATTTACTCATCATTCCAGTGGAACCAGCTGCAAATAATAACAATATAATCCAGGAAAGATCGATGACAAGAGGGTTACTATGCTTATAATAATGTGTGTCCTTATCTGATCGTATCAGTAGAATGCTACTATGTACAAAGAATATTACAAGTGATGCATAATATGTCTTCAAACTCATCTTCCATATGTGACAAAAATTCATTTGGAGTATTCATTTTATAGTTTATTTTTATGCAATTAAAACAAAAGAATACATACAGTGTTTGGTTAGGTTTTTTAACCGTGTTAGGTTGAGATTTTGGCTGTAATTCAAATGCAACATTCAATAAATCTATAGGTTCACTTTCTGGTATGCATCTAAAATAAAAAAAAAATCTGTTTTCAATTGATAGTTGTTAAGTAGCTTTCTTGCCAGCTGACAGCTATGTTCAAGACCAGAAAAGCAGGTATTTTTTCATCAAATTTATACACATACCAATGCTGCTGATTTAGCTCCTAATGTCAGTCATGCCAAAAAATAAAAATTTCAAATTAGACATTATGAAAAGAAAACTCAAAAAGTCACCTGTCGGCTAAGGCTGTAATGACTGCTGAATCAATGCCACCAGAAAATAAAATGGCTATATTGGACTGATGTACACAATACTCATTTTTTGCAGCTTCACTGATTTCTAGTTTCTGACATTGGTGTTCAGCTGATGGTCTAGTTGGTATATTTGTTACTCTTCTTCTAACAGATTCCTCTAGCACCTCAATCAACTGATTAGCAGCTGTTTTCATGAACTCATTGTCACTTAACAGATGATTTAAGTATTCTTCATGAGTTTGCTTTCCTAATGTAAATAGACTAGCATCTGCTACTGGAATTTCTTTATTTAACATTGGAATTCCGGACTTCAATTCATCTAATTTATTAACATGAATATGAACATTTGATTGGTCTAATGTCATTATATTATTTTCTGAGTCAATCGGATTTTGAGTTTGAGGCCACACACAAAATTTCCATGGAAACAATTCCACATGCAAATTTTCGGTATCTAGTTTTTCATTTAATTCCATACAAAAAATTCCAACAGCAGGTATTTCTGAAAATTTCTACAACAAAAATATTCATTATTACTACAGAAGAAAAATACTAGAATTCAAAATATGCATTAATAACTATTGGCGATAAGAGATGTACATCAGTGAGTAAATCATTGTATCAGAAAATATGTACAATGTGGTGCTCCATCATCACATAGATCTTTATGCATGTAGTTATCTAAACATTTGATTTTCATATGAAAAGTGAAACAATAAGATGAAACTAACCTCTTTCAGCACTGTACAAAGTACATGAATATACATTTAAATTTAAAGTTAAAATTGGGAAATGTGATTTAAGAATTCATTTAAAAGAAATACCCTGATAAAAAAAATTATTGACTTACATGGGAATGAATTTGAACTGAAGAAATACTGAAACAATCTGAATCATTTTGGGGTATATGCCAAAGCAAACTTCTTCTCCCTAGTTTATCGCGACCAAACCACAATTTCTTATAACATTCCTGAAATCAAAAACAAATATTTTTAATATAATCTTTACACGTTGTATATGTCAGCTAATTGCTTACAATGGTGGAAACAATTTACCATTGACCAACAAAGAGTTCAAGACCTTTTAATGTTTTTTTGAATAAGCTTATGCTTGCAATTATTCTCTTTCCTTCTAAAATATCAGTCTTGTTTAATTCATTGATTGAATGTTCAATTGCTAAACTCTGAAAATATCATCCACTCCTTTTGGAAAGCTGTTCTGTTATATCTTAGAAGATTCTAATTTTGCTGAATTTGCCTTCACAAATATATCCATTACCTGCCAATATATAAATGCCCAGGGTCCTTGTATAGTATCAAAGACATCTAAAATATCTTGTTGTGTTTTACAATGGTATAATTTATCACTAATTATCTCAGTATCATTTTCATCTTCTTTTACCTAAAATATAAATTGTAGTCTTTTACTTGTACATATCATTTCACAGATTTTTAGTAAGCCATTCATTGTTTGCTACCTTCAGATCAAAAGATATAAAAATATTTTGCATAGATACCTATCCTAGATGATCCAGAAAAAATAATATAGATCAACAATTCGTGTGCTTGATACCCTTCAAAGTTTTAATATACTTTTTCATTTTCGATCAAGGATTGTTGATCTATAACTTTTTCTAGTTCCTGTTTAATTAGAGGTAGACACTGTCAGCTACAAGTAATGATCTCCAGACAGTTCTATATAAAAAATTAAAAGGCAAATTATAACCACTGTTCCCAGTAATTTTTACCTGTAAACCATCAAATACTTCTCCATTCCATAACAAACAATTGCCATTTTCATCTAACAAGGGTTGAGGTGTAAATCGACCACGAAGATGAAGGACATATCCTGACAATTGAAGATGAGCAGAATCATTCACTTGGATAAATCTACTTTTCTTTGCATCTGGACCTCTGGCATAAATATACTTTTCATTGTATGTCTAAACAGAAAATTATTCAGAGTTATTTCTATATTACAAATAAATATTTTTGTCCAATGATTAATATTGCGTTTATAGAAGTGGTTATATACACGTTATAGTTCTTTTAATGGGACAAATTCTTCTAAGCAACAATTTTGAGTATATATGAATAAGGTGGAATCCTGTTTGGAAAGAATAGTAGAATATTAATGTAAGTCATTAGAAATAATATTTTTATTTATTTTGTGTCTCAGTCTAGCTTAGTCCGAAACATCTGCTTTTATTCCAGTCTGTAATGGATATTTTGACTTTTGTCAGCTTGAGTAGAGTCAGAAAAAAAAGACCCTGTTAAATGGGGATTTTCCACACCTCCAAAGATGTGTTTTCTCTGACATAATATCGATTTACCCTTAAGATGATTGTAAATAAGTTTTAGGTATCACCATACCTTAATATTCAAAATGAAATATTCAACCGTATGTCATTTCTCTTAGAATATCTTTGGGTCCATAGAAATATGAGGTTCAGTGAATTTACTTTAGAAATAAACACACTTTCCTCTCAGAAAATTCACGTGAAAATGGCCCGCTTTTCGGACTGAAAATCTCTCTCTGTAGAATCATTTTTAAAATTAATATTTTTTGTCAGTGTTTAACATTTTCATCAACCCAAAGACAATCTAAGACTCTCAGTAGTATTTTGTAGTTAATATTTTAATTAGTATGAAAATGTTTGTCAAAATTCAATTCAGAAAACAGCTCAGCATAGTCAGAGAGTACCGGTAATAGTAAATAAAACAGATTTATCATTATTATAAGTTCAATAACTTTCACCTTCACGTCAGATTGTTTGCTATAACCGAGAATACAGCAGATTCCACACATTCCGGTATCATGAAGTTAATTTTGTTTAAATAAAATCAGAAAAAATCTTTAACTGACAAAAATGTGTGCAATAGTGGTCTAAAAACGTAAACAAAAAGAGTTATATTTTCTTGGTTTCGTATATTTTATAAACTATTTATAAGAAAAATGAAAAGAAACTATAAATTGTATTGTTACATAATAATATTTAGATATTTTCGGATTCACATTTATTGATTGTGAACTATATTACATATTACCTTCCATCATTTTATTGTCTAAATTCTGTTTATTAACTAAAAGCTTTTACATGGCTGCGTACAAAATGAAACAACAAAACATAAATATCATCTATTTTTAGATATCACGTGACACTTAAAAATCAAAATGACGGATGGTAGAGGGGTCAGATTATTAACAGATTTGAATAATATTTTTAAAAGAGATCCGAATATGTAGGAAATTTATATCTTGTTGATTGTATGTCTAGGAGTTACATAGTCCGAAACATCTGCCTCTATTCCAGCCTCTGATGGATATTTTGACAGTTGTCAGCGAGAGTAGAGTCCCCTGTTCAATGGCGATTTCACTCACCTCCAGAGATGCTTTTTCTCTAACATAATTTTGAATAACCTTTTAGATGATTATATATTATTAGTGTTAGGCATCACCGTAACTTTCGTTTTGTTAGTATGTTTTGTTAGTATCACATGACTCTGTGACCTTTGAACTTTTGGCTGCGCACGCAGTTTTAAATGGCTGATGTTAGATCAGTTTCGTCAAAAAAAAGCTTTGACGGAACCAGAGACAACGGCAGAAAAGGTGTAGGGAGAAAATGATGGTATGACAGAATTACAAAATAGTTCATTTTTCCAAATGTACCTGGGTACCTGAGGTATCTAAATAGGTTTAAAGCCCTGCAACTGCGGAGATGCGGAATGACCCTGTTTAACAGGGCTTATTATTCCTGTCTCCACACCAGCTGACATCTGTCGATATAGCTATCAGAGGCTGCGCATACAGATGTTTCGGTCTGGGGGCTACAGTACACTATTTGGTTGGCCCCCCTTCTTTCAAGACATTCAACACATCAATGAATATTTATTTTCACGAGCTTTTTTGCAAATTTTTATTTAATGTGGTGTTTATTTTTTATGTCAATGGCATTTTGCAAAAATCACATAAATTAAATGAGTAAACAAATAATGTTTGTTAATGCCATTGGTTTACATGCCATGCCATTGACACAACAATATCAATACCCACTGATAATTACCGTAACAGACCTTGAGTTGATAGAAATAAAACTGTATTTTGAGCTTAAAAAATTTTGAGCAGTCTACTGAAATATTCTTTTTTTGCAAATGATTTCAGAGATGAATATGATGTATTACCTGTTATAGAACCAAAACATAATAAAAGTCCCTTGGTTGTAGTTGATCATAAACTGGGAGTAGAACTTTGGTGTGTTTCTATACTTTATCAACATGCCTATGATAGATTATTTTCTTGGAGAGACAAAAATGGAGGTGGAAAATTTATAGGTAGGCCTTTTTTTTTTAAATTTATAGCAGAAAGCCAATGGAATTGACTCGTAAAAAATTGCACTTTTTAGGAAAGAGAAAAAGAGGGCTTTGGTATAGGTTAAACTGATAAGCATTGCATGTTTGCACTAAACACACAAAATTAACCTAATTGCACACTGAATAAGATGTTTTCTTTGATAATTTCAGACCCAGTAGAAGTAGGTAATTTATGTCGTGCTGTATTATTAGTTAATCCTGAATGTTATACAGCTTGGAATATCAGGTATAGATTATCTACATATTAACAAAAATTGGACTTGATCATTAAGGTTATAAAGTTACAGGTTGTAACATATTTATAAATTGTTTCAGCAGTTGTAAGTTCATAAGATGAGGGCTGGATTTGTGTTGAGATGAAAGGTCTATAAGGGTGAAGAAAATCAACACTTTTTGTTAAAATTTCCCTTGTAAAACATGTTAAGAGTATCTAATCAAACGAAATGAGAATGAGCTACAATTGTTGATTCTATGTAACAAGATTTCTCTCAATTCATACTGCATAGCATTTCTTATCTTCATAACAAGGCTAAAAAAGAAAATGTTTTTTCTATTGTAGAAAAGAGTGTGTGGAATCTTGTACCTTAAATATTGAAGATGATCTGAAACTTGGAAGATTGATATTAACAAAACATCCTAAAAGTCCTGAAACATTCATTCATAGGTAATGATAGAATTATTGTTATTTGCTTTTCTTTATTTTTCCAGTTGAACCATTTTACATCAATATTGAATGAATAAATATTGCGTTATAAATCTTTGTTAAGAAGCTCAAAGCGGATCCATGGAATCTAAAGAAGATCTAATTGTAAATAGGCTCCTTATGCACTAATTATCATTTTATATTACTCTAGGAGATGGTTATTACAAAGATATATTAACCAATGTTTGATGTCCAGTAATGACAGTAACCATAGCGACAGTAGTATTGAAAGTTCAAACCTCACAGTTGGAGTTGACAGCATATCCGTCAGTTTTCTGCCAACAAATCAAAATTCCTCTAGCAATAATACCCTAATTCCTGTACAACTCAATACCAATATACAACGATTAGTCACTCAGGAATTTGCTGTTTGTTTACATGCTGCCGAACATTATCCATGCAATTATCATGCCTGGAGTCACAGAATATGGTTGATACAGACAGCTTATAATAATTCTATTCAGGTTGGCAGTTTTTGTTTAAATCTAATATGTTATGTAAATATACTTAACAACTTAGTTTTTGATGCCAATATGAAGATTTGACTGAAGATAAATTAAAATCTACAAGAAGATTGGAACAGCAAAGCATTTTGTTAATCCTGAGAGCAGCTCTGTTTCCCTGTTTATAAGAAGTGATTGATGATGATGAGAACACAGTCTCATCTCATAAAAGCACTGGCCTAGGTTGCAATTAAAGACTTGTAATAAAGATAGTGGACCACAGCCATATACGCCCTTCACGGCATGCGGATGGTAAAAACGAAACTC